GTCTACGACGCAGGAATGACCTGGAAGAGGACTTCTGTCCTGCAGATGAACTGAGCTAACAGTCCCAGGACAGCTGGCGAAGGGGAGAACCAGAGTGACCCAGGAGGCTGGGTCCTCTTCCTTGGTTGGAGACTCCAGTTTGCAGGCCCCCATCCTTCACCCAGATGCTCACCAGTGGGGTAACTGGCCACTCCTGAGAACATGCTCATGAGGACAGGCTCCCAGGAGGGGATCCAGGTCCTGAGCAGCTGGGGTGCCATCCCCAAAATGGTGCTGGACAGGCTCCTGTGATTAGTTGCCGGACAAGCTTCAGGAAGTCTTAGCCGAGGGCATGTGGTGATCACATGCACAGAACCCATCTGAGATCTCTCTCTCCCTCTCTCTCTCTCTCTCTCTCTCTCTCTCTCTCTCTCTCTCTCTTTTTCTTCTTCTCTTCTCTCTCTTTTTCTCTTTTGGCCTCACCGCATGGCTTGTGGGATCTTGGTTCCCCAACCAGGGATTGATCCCGGGCCCTCGGCAGTGAAAGAACGGAGTCCTAGCCACTGGACCGCCATCTGTGATCTTGACCCCATCCCAAACCCAACACCATCCTGACCGCAGGCAGCTCCAATCCCATCCTTAGCCCCGTCCCTACCCTCCAACCCAGCCCCATTCTCATTCCCAACAACAAATTCAATCCCATCCTTTTATTTATTTATTTTATTCATTTGTGTGTGTGTGTGTGCCACACCGCATGGCTTGTGGGATCTTAGTTCCCTGACCAGGGATCAAACCCCAGCCCCAGCAATGAAAGCGCTGAGTCCTAACCACTGGACAGCCAGGGAATTCCCTCAGTCTCATCCTTAACCCCAGTTCCAATTCCAAACTCCAGCTCCAACCCCAAATTCAGCCTATCCCAATCCCCAAGCTCAATCCCATTGTTAACCCCAGTTCCAACCCATCCCTCCCAAACCCCAAACCTAGGGGCTTCCCTGGTGGTGCAGTGGTTGGGAGTCCACCTGCCGATGCAGGGGACACGGGTTCGTGCCCCGGTCCGGGAAGATCCCCCATGCCGCGGAGCAGCTGGGCCCATGAGCCATGGCCGCTGAGCCTGCGCGTCCGGAGCCTGTGCTCCGCAACGGGAAAGGCCAGAGCAGTGAGAGGCCCGCATATCGCAAACAAACAAACAAACAAAAAACTAGAAGTACGGGCTTCCCTGGTGGATCAGTGGTTAAGAATCTGTCTGCCTATGCAGGGGACGCGGGTTCGTGCCCTGGTCCAGGAAGATCCCACATGCTGCAGAGCAACTAAGCGCGTGCGCCACAACTACCGAGCCTGCACTCTAGAGCCCGCAAGCCGCAACTACTGAGCCCGTGTGCCACAACTACTGAAGCCCACACGCCTGGAACCCGTGATCCACAACAAGAGAAGGCACGGCGATAAGAAGCCTGTGCACCCCACAAAGAGTAGCCCCCCCCCTCACCGCAACTAGAGAAAAGCCCACGCACAGCAAGGAAGACCCAATGCCAAAATAAATTAATTAATTTATTAATTAAAAATTAATTAATTTAAAAAACTAAAAATAGAACTACCATATATGATCTAGCAATCCCGCTCCTGGGTATATATCCGGAGAAAACCATAATTCGAAAGGATACATGCACCCCAATGTTCATTGCAGCACTATTTACAATAGCCAAGACATGGAAGCAACCTAAATGTCCATCAGCAGAGGAATGGATAAAGAAGATGTGGTACATATATACAATGGGATATTACTCAGCCATAAAAAAGAATGGAATAATGCCATTTGCAGCAACATGGATAAACCGAGAGATTATCACACTAAGTGAAGTAAGTCAGACAGAGAAAGACAAATATCATATGATATCACATATATGTGGAATATAAAAAAGATACAAATGAACTTATTTACAAAAGAGAAACAGACTCACAGACTTTGAAAACAAATTTATGGTTACCAAAGGGGAAATGTGGGGTGGAGGGATAAATTAGGAATTTGGGATTAATATATACACACTACTATGGATAAAATAGATCATCAAAAAGGATGTACTGGGGCTTCCCTGGTGGCGCAGTGGTTGAGAGTCCGCCTGCCGATGCAGGGGACGCCGGTTCGTGCCCCGGTCCGGGAAGAACCCACATGCCGTGGAGCGGCTGGGCCCGTGAGCCATGGCCGCTGAGCCTGTGCGTCCAGAGCCTGTGCTCCGCAACGGGAGAGGCCACAACAGCGAGAGGCCCGCGTACCGCAAAAAAAAAAAAAAAAAAAAATGGACTTGTCATTTACTAAGTTGGGGGAGACCATGGGAGGAGCAGATGCGGGGTGTGAGAGAGTTCAGGAGCTCAACTTCAGATATGTGAAAATTGAGATGCCTCTTCTTTTCAGGTGGAAATGTTGAGTAAGTAGCTGGAGATATGAGTCTGAAGTTATAGCATCATTATTATTGCTAGAGTCAGCCCCTATAAATATGATTCCTGGAATAAGTCTCAGGAAATATTTCTACTTAAATAGGCCTCAATAAATTATAATTAGAGAAGGAGGGCTTCAGTTGCTATTATTACTAGAGGAAGCCTCTATAAATACAGTATTTTTGTTACTTGAGGAGGCCCCAATAGATATTTCTAGGGAGTAAGCCTCTATTAATATAACAGTTCCTAGCCTAGGCTGTCATAAATATTCTTATTATTGGAATTAGCCTCCCTAAATAGTCTTATTATTTCATGGTAAGCCTTAGTAAATCTCATGGCAGTTGGCACGAGTTTGTTGAATGAACTAATGAATGAGTGAGTGAAGAGAAGATAAAAGTCACGAATGATGGATGAAGAGGCAGGTGCAGGACGAGGTGCAGACCAGACTTCTGGTGTTTCTCCTTGGAAGGGTCCATCCAGGGAGGGGCCAGGAGGTTGGGAGAGCCAACTGGAGATGGCGCGAGTGGGCAAGGAGGTTGTTTTTCCACAGTTGTTCCTTTTTTTTTTTGGCCGCGCTGGGCAGCATGTGGGATCTGAGTTCCCAGGCTGAGTTCGCTCAGTGGCGTTTTGGAGGGCTCCGAGGAGCTCTGGTTGTCTCAGCACAGAAAGAATTCAGTGAGAGGCAAAGTGACGAGATAAGAAGCGATTTATTAGATTATTAGAATAGGATGCTTGTGAGGCTTACAAATGGGTGGGCGAGAGGGTGCCTCCCCCAGAACTTAGTGGGCTCCTGTTTTATAATCAAAGGAAAAGTGGGGAGGGGGAGAAGACCACCCCCTTCCTCATTCTTGAGTAGACGTCATGCTGCCATCATCAGCTCCGCCTCCAGGTTGGGCAGGGGAGTATTTTTGTCCCTACATGGTCAAGCCAGGACTGTCACGGCACTATGGAAAAATTATTTCAGGTCTCAGTACAATGAGGGTCTTTCACTTTGAAATATCACCTTTCCATAAATTACTGTCTTTTATTGACATTTTAGAGAGAATTTCATGGGGGTTATTAACTTACTGAGCTCACTGGACAGGATGTGGGTCTCACGCCACCATTGTTTTATCGTTTGGGGCATGTCTCATGCTTCTGTTGCATGGTTTTGTTGCTAAGCAAGCCTGCTTGGTTTTGTGGTTAAGCAAACCTGCTTTCTTAAGTGATCATTAACTTACAGGGGTCTCCCATACTTTTTCTTTACTTACAATCCCCTAGTGTAAGTAAATCCCCTATTTAACTAATCCCCTATTTAATTACCTACTTTGTCCCTTTATTCTGTCCCTATCACGACCAGGGATAGAACCCATGGCCCCTGCACTGGGAGTGTGGAGTCTTAACCACTGGACCACCGGGGAAGTTCCACAGATCTTTTCATTTATCGTGTTATCCTACTGTGATATTAT